GTGAATGGTAGTGTAGTGAATACTATGTGCATGGTGATTCAGTTGGCCAGCGTGCAGCGTAGTGCGATCACTACAACGTTTATGGCATAGTTTTTTTAATACTGTTCATAGTAGCTATTAACAAAACTTTGAGCTCGGATTGTAAATGCCTGGTGGTTTTGTCGTTTAATTTAATATTCGAATACATATGAAATATTCACTCTCTAAACTTACTGTAAAAGTTGAAGGATAGTGAGCTGTATTATGAACTTACTGTTTGCTATAAGAGTCAACAGTAGGTTGTCTTGTGTTGTCAACATGAAGCTACAGTCTGTTGTCCACAGGAGGCGGCCGTCTGCTCTGAGAAAGCCCTCGTCATTCTCGCCGCCCTGACCAGCTAAGGTTTATGTCCCTGTTAACAGACTCAGCTACTGCGCTGTCTGCTAGTCTATTACATGATGAATTATCTGCAAAGTTGATTCGTTTTAGCGGCCGTTTTTGCTGCTCTCAATCTGAGTAAAATTGCGTGAATTTCAACGAAACCTCGAAAATATTACAGCTAAGGTTCAATCTAAGATTCCACCATACAATATCATTCGCAATTATGCGTAAAATAGGATATATCGAGGTTAATTTTGCCTAAATGCGGTTTTGTGTACACTTGTACCGTCTTCCTGCCGTGCATTTACCAGCGCATCGGCGGCAATAATCCACCGATAAACCGCCGCCTAGCTCCGCCACTCAGGCGCCCAACGCGCACCTCTGCGTATCGACCGCTCACGTGGGTTGATTCTACGCGCGTGATCGGACTAGGCTACATAAGATTTGGTTATACGGTCTCTACAACATGTTGTTCGAAAGTTTACTTAAAACCTAAAACCACGAGTTCAACTTACTGGGCACAACATATTTGTTTTTAATTTATCGTCTCCCTTAGAACACTAAAAATACATATTCATTTTCATTTTGTTTCCTGTGATGAAAATAAATATTGATGGAGATGCAAAGTGAACACATCAACATGAATTGATTTTACGCTGGACAGCGGCGTAGACTGTATATATAGCGATGAGGGTTGATTTTACGTAGCGCTCTGTGTAGGCTGTGTAGACAGCGGCGGGGATAAACGTAAGTGCTTTTGGGAGATCAGGACGCAGCGTCGAGTGCCTTGCGCACAACGCCGCAAAAAAAAGAAGAAATTCTAGGCCTAGTGAGTCGCTGAATGCCTAGTGGCAGCTCTAGCGCCCAAACTGCGGATCGATGGGCACTAGAATACCATTTCTTAGTACTAAGTCTCCCAGGACCTCAACTAGGGTTAATTGGTACTATAGGGCTCGTCTAGGTATAAGTCCACTAGAACCAGCTGTAGAGGCGCTCTAGGTTCAGTGAGCACTAGTCTAGTCCCGCTTGGTAACCACGGACAATTCAGAAATTTTTCCTGTGCTTCAAAAAACCTTATGTCCTAGAGTAATCCTTTACAGGGTGAGTTAGCTCATTAATAATCTCAAATTAATCCAGGAAATATTAATCAAATGCGATCCTATCAGTGATATAGCAAATAATTAATTATAAGAAGGAACTGCAGTTATAGGTACTCCGCAAAACATATTCTGCCCGCGTGCCCGGAGCTGGCAGCACCCAGTCTCTACACAACCTCAGGTGCTTAGCTTTGGTCCGACCGCCTGCTCGGGTACGTGGCTTTCCTGCGCAGCGCGGGCTTTTTGATATGACCTGGACCCAAAGGAACATCAACAACAACAACAACAACAACTTCAGCAGCAACAGCAACAACTTTACGATGCACGCACATTTTGGTGAGAGTGACAGCTCTTCCCTCAACTGTTAGTGATTAGGGGAGGGTAAGAGGCTCGCTCTGGTCCTGACGCTCTCTATTGTTGGATTACACTGAGCACTTCGTGTGCTCCCTAATGCGGGATTACACTGAGCACTTTGCGTGCTCCCTAATGCGGGATTACACTGAGCACTTCGTGTGCTCCCTAATGCGGGATTACACTGAACACTTTGCGTGCTCCCTAATGCGGGATTGCACTGAACACTTTGCGTGCTTCCTAATGCGGGATTACACTGAGTACTTGTTACCTGGTATGGGGATCCTACATACCAGGTAGCATACATACCAGGATGCGGGATCCTACAAACGTTACGTCACAAGACGTCGCGTCGTAGGCCGTCAGCTGGCCACGTAAGAGTCGCCGGGCGAGCTCGTCTGAGCGCGTCGCCTGTTGCGGCCATCAGACGCCCTCTGCAGCCTGCCCCCCTCCCAGTAATCGTGCCCGCACCCTTACACGTACCCATACCCAGCCCGTACCCGCGACGTTGCATGCGCTCATACCCGTGCCCGTGCCGTAACGTGCTTGCACTTGACCCCGTGTCTTTTTTTGTCTTTCACTACTCCCCTCACATTGTGAGTACTCCTTCACTTTTTGTTCACCCCCTCACATTGAATTCAAACCCTGACATTGAACTCAAGCCCTCACTTGCTCACATTGTCCTCACTCCCTCACATTGTACTCACTCCCTCACATTGTACTCACTCCCTCACATTGTACTCACTCCCTCACATTGTACTCACTCCCTCACATTGTACTCACTCCCTCACATTGTACTCACTCCCTCACATTGTACTCACTCCCTCACATTGTACCAGATCTCACAGATATCCTCATTTCCTCTTCATAATATCCTAACTCACTCACCCTCACACTCATGAGGCAGCCCTCAGTCTCCCCTTGTTTACTCAGGCATCGTCTTGCATGGCCCGACCCTCGCCCCTCATTTCCGCACCTCATTTGCTGCGTGTTGGGCCCTCGTTTGCTGCATGTTGGGCCCTCGTTTTCCCTCTTTTGTCCCGGCAAGACGTCCTGTTTATCTCGTAGCTTCCCTCTAGTAAAAGATAAGATTTTATGAAAAACGAGCTGTGAATCGGGCAGCTTCAATGTACGTTAGGTAAATAGCTGGGCGGTTTAATTAGTGACTCGTTTAATTACATGATATAAAAGACTATTCAGTAGTTTCAACACATACTTATTTTATTTATGCTCACTTCCTTCTACACGGAAAAATACAGCGAGCACGCGCTGACACAAACGCTCCATTCAAACTAATGCTGCACACAGGCCACACAGCACTTGTTTGGCGCACACAGCACACACAGTTTGATTGGAGCACACAGCCCGCACAATATGAGTTTGATGCACACAGCCCACACAATGTGTGTTTGACGCCCTACATGCATTACGCGTTATTATAAGCTCCGTTTTTTCATCAGAGGTTCGGGGTGACGCTGGTTGAACTAAGAAGCCGTCTTCCACAAAATTCACTCGATGGTGTGTAAAAGTATCATAAAAATGTCACACGTGATCTGTATGAATGTAGACCACAACAGACCACACGAGTGCGTTTTGGACCCATTTGACCACAACAGACCACACGAGTGCGTCTTGGAGCCCATTTGACCACAGCAGACCACATGAGTGCGTCTTGGACCCCATTTGACCACAACAGACCGCATGAGCGCGTCTTACACCCCATTGACCACAACAGGCCACATGATTGCGTTTTGGACCCCATTAGACCACAACAGACCACACGAATTGCTGAACTTAATTCTAGCATTAGTTTCTATTCGCAAGTGACGGACGCGAGGGCATGTTGGCTCAACCTTGCTCCCGATGTGAGGGTATTTCTCGCGAGGGCTTCCTCCTTTGAAAGGACGATGGCAAAATATGTCAATAAGATTTAGCTGAGCCACAATTAAGGACGATCAATCAAGTTATATGTTACAATTGCTTTACGTTAAAATGTTTCAACGTTAAGCTTATACGGCATCAGCATCACAAAATATATCATTTGCATTAACATTTCGAGTCAATGTGTGGTGGTCCTGCTGTGTGTTATGCGGTGCCTCGGCTGTGCTATGCGGTGCTTTTGCTGTGCTGTGCGGTGCCATGAAGAGCGTTGCAGTATTCTGATGCGCTATGCAGCGGTGTATGGTGCTATGCACTTCAATGCTGTACTTTATCAGCACAATTGTGCTGTGCATTAGTGTGCAGTGCTGTTTTATGCTGTGCGGTGCTATATTGCGTAATGCTGTGCGGTGCTGTGTGGTCCCTGGTCGTTGACCGCGTGTTCTGCGCTGTGGTGTCAGCCATGGTCCACACGCCCTAATGCACCCTGGTGGTGCGCGTGTTGCTGGTGTGTCGCGCGTGTTGCTGGTGTGGCGCGTGTGTTGCTGGTGTGGCACGTGTGTTGCTGGTGTGGCGCGTGTGTTGCTGGTGTGGCGCGTGTGTTGCTGGTGTGGCGCGCGTGTTGCTGGTGTGGCGCGTGTGTTGCTGGTGTGTGGGGGGGCGCCGCCCCCCTGCAGTGTGCCACAATGAACAGCTTGTGCCCCCCTTAGCACCCAGCCCCTCGCCCCCCGTCCCCCGCCCCGGGGTTGTGAAACAAGGACGTCGGTTCATCAAAGCCCAACAGAGGGCGGTGCTACGAATAACCAATGATAATAAATGGCTTAATGGCCAATTATGTGCATTAGATGAATGAGGGTAAAACTGACACCATGACTCACCTGATGCGAGGGTAAGACATACAAGTGTACACAAAGGCTGTATTCAAGAAGACAGTCAAGGATGAGTTGCCGGTAATTCAACGGCGTCATATATGTTCATTTCTGAATTTAGATACTTAAACTTATATACTAATTTGCTCTTTTCTGCGTTGGTGAAAAATTAACCCCGTTTAGCTCGTTACTACTTAATATTTCCTAGTGATACATAGGTACGTGCATCACTCCCCTCTCCCACACTCCCCTCTCCAACACTCCCCTCTCCAACACTCCCCTCTCCAACACTCCCCTCTCCCACACTCCCCTCTCCAACACTTCCCTCTCCAACGCTCCCCTCTCCAACACTCCCTCTCCAACACTCCCCTCCCCAATACCCTCTAATTATCCCCTTAATACCCCCCTTTAATTACCCTCGCTAAGCCCCTTTTTTCCCCCGCAGGTATGATGGCCTGGGAGTCGTTCACACCAGCGCGTGAGTACCTCGCTGTTTAATTAGCTATTTAACATAATTTATTCATTTTTCAAATTTTCTTGCTACAATAATATTTACTTTAAATTCAACAGTCAGAAGAAAGCATATAATACTAATTTAATTCAACTCAAACTTGAAGATAACCAACACTCCCCTCATTCACAATTATGAAGTTATGAACCAATTCATTCACAATTATGAAGTTAACGAAGCACCTTATCTTTAGATTAAATTCAAATACAGTTAAAAAATATTATATAATATTATTAATAACGTACGAAAGACTAATTATGTATCATTCTGAAATGTGTGTTTGATGGATGTTTTCCTATTTTGTTTTGGACACTGAAGTGCTAAGGTCTCCAATTTTGATCAATATAGTTACGCTACATTTTAACGTGTAAGAACAAACCAGTTCTGAAATGCACCAAGATAAAACAAACAATTGTTAAGTTTTTAATAGAAAAGTTGCTGCTGCGTAGGATACATGCGGCGGAAGACAGCCAGGCGATGCTTCCTTCAGTTGCTCCGAGCTACGCTTCCGTAATGCTATTCTTACCAAACATTTGAATTTTCTCAGTAATACGTGTTGGAAATGAGTCTGTTCGTCGCTGCTGTTGTTTCTGCTGTTGCCGCGGCTGTCGATCATCATTTCCCAGCTATAAGTGCCGCGCTCTGTCGAGACATAGGAGGCTTTATCTCATATGTGTACCTGAAATTCAGAGAAGGAAACGTTTTAAAGTGATATTATCAAGTGAAAATACCAGTTCAAATGATCTTAATTATTTTTAAGCCTTCATATTTCTAACTAATCAAGTTGATTTGACATGATGTAGTTGTTTTGTGACGAGAAAGCAGTCCGCGTCATCGCGGAAGTTCTTGCTTGAGTTTACTTTAGTTAACCCCAAATTCCACGTGTGTGCAAGTCTACGGTATAATGAGCCAGCATTCCAGTTACTCGACCGCCGGTGGGTAGAAGGAGTGAGTTCAAGAGCAGCTTACAATTTCAATTATTAAACGACAGATTTTTATTGGGTGTGGCCTCTATGTTACATAGTTTATTACAGCAGCAGAAGTAGCAGCAGCATCAGCAGGCAGCAGTAGCAACAGCAGCAGCAGTAACAGTAGTAGCAACAGCAGCATTAGCAGTAGCAGCAGTAACAGTAGTAATAGCAGCAGCAGTAGCAGTAGCAACATCAGCAGCAGCAGTAGCAGCAGTAGCAGCAGCAGCAGCAGCAGCAGCAGCAGCAGCAGCAGCAGCAGCAGCAGCAGCAGTAGCAGCAGCAGTAGCAGCAGTAGCAGCAGCAGTGTACCGCAAAAGCTGGATGCTTCATGCAGCGTTGTGCTCGTGTCAGTTGCAGCGTCATCTTCAGGCTCTTCGCACGTCTAGCAGAAAAAAGTATCGTTCGTCGCCGTATTAAAAAAAATATCTATGTATATCCGTGTGAGCTGTAAAAAAATCTTCGCAATTGATAGTCCAGTTTCCAAAATCAATATGGTTTTCAATTGTATAATTCGTGATTTTGGGGTAGAAATTATGTATATATAGGTGGAAATTATGTATATACCAAATATAACAAAAATGTATACATAAAACTGTTCAAACTACACAAAACATCATTTGAATGACTGCGTATGATACTTATGGTATATGACAGGTAATATGAATGTTAGTTATTTCTATTTTTCTTTTATTACTTTCATATAATTATACAACTTATTTTGATGCATCTGCAGGAACAACCATAGTATTCATCCCTCAATATCCTATATAAAGTAAGAATGAAGTATTGTATGTCAAGAGACACCCCATATATCCCATGAATAATATCTCGTGCCCGCATTATAGATTATTAAGTAAACGGTCCGGCACTGAATTTCTAGGCCCATCCAAAACTAGCCTGGCGGGAACAAGTACCAGGTAACAAGTACCAGGTAACAAGTACCAGGTAACAAGTACCAGGTAACAAGTACCAGGTAACAAGTACCAGGTAACAAGTACCAGGTAACAAGTACCAGGTAACAAGTACCAGGTAACAAGTACCAGGTAACAAGTACCAGGTAACAAGTACCAGGTAACAAGTACCAGGTAACAAGTACCAGGTAACAAGTACCAGGNTCTTATAACGGCTCCTACTGCCGTCAGTACGGCTGGCTCTTGTGTCGCTCTTATAACGGCTCTTTCTGCCGTCATTACGGCTGACTCTTGTGTCGCTCTTATAACGGCTCTTTCTGCCGTCAGTACGGCTGGCTCTTGTGTCGCTTTTGATAAGAGCTCGAGGCAGGTTTACGCAGCGCTGCTGCCGGCGCTCTTATTAGACTTGAAAGGTTCGCTCTTAAAAAATCGTCTTACTGCGTCGCTCAAAAAACCTGCCGCACTTCCGCGACTCCGCCCAAGCATCAGCTGCAACTCCAGCCCACGACCTGATATTTCTCCTGAGTACTATACTTTATAGCGAAAAATACTTTATCACTAGGAAATACTTTACCGCGAAAAATACGTCATCACTAGGAAATACTTTTCCACGAAAAATACTTCATCACTGGGAAATACTTAACCGCGAAAAATACTTCATCACTGGGAAAATACTTGCATTTACAATACGGATATTGTATATAGGGGCTGTTGGAGCGCCTATCCTGGATACTTATCGTGTCGGGATATTGTATATAGGGGCTGTTGGGGTGCGTATCCAGGATACTCATCGTGTCGGGATATTGTATATAGGCGCTGTTGGGGCGCGTATCCAGGATACTTATCGTGTCGGGATATTGTATATAGGGGCTGTTGGG